AGCTCAATACTAACTATGGTTTGACTTGCTTGAAACGGTTGCGGCGTTTGAGATAACTATCACGTATAACATATATGCAAAGAAGTTTAAGTGGAAGTCGATGGAAATATGGAGTGTCGGTGGCTGGGACAAGAACCCTCTTCGTCTGGCACATTGAATTCCTGCTGAATGGCATTATCAGAAATAGAGTCGCAGGGGACTTTCCGGCTAAACGCTCATATATTAAAACCAGCATTTATTTCAGCACCAACCCTATTGCGAAGTATCCTAACCTCGGCAATAGTGGAGGAACAGCTGTATGCGTACTGTTATCGAAAATAATCCAATTAATTTTCTCTGTAAACATCTCAGTGATAGCAAAGAATACCAGTCGACTTCTGTCAGTCAAAAGGAAACCATTGATAGCCCAGTCGCATACGTTCGTGTTGATCTGGCGCAGATGAAATCGTAGGTAGACTATGCTTGCAAACTCAAGAAAGTCATTCGATCTGTGTGAGCATCCAGGACTCGGGGACATCCTTGATGGCTAAGGCAGACATGGTAGAGTTGTCTGTAAGATAGAATGGACTCGAGAGGTTCAGTCAGACCTTCTGATACGACGGATTATTAAAACCCTCCACCATCTTCATCGCTCTGCTCATCATCTCCTTAAGGAAGTCATTAACCCCCATATTTCATATCTCAAACGCGGTCACAAGTAGGAAAATGCGATTTTTAGGAGACCATTTAAGCGTCGGCCAGATACAACGCATAGTGTTAACTGCACCCGACAGGCTTCCGATGAATGGATCGTTTTGTGCATCTATATTTTTGCTATAATTATATTGAAGAAATAAATATGGTTTGAGGAGAGCCGACAGTCACTTTCGGAAAAAACAATATATTTACACGCATTGTTTCTGACTGGGAATTCAGATTGCCTATTTTACATTGGAGTAAATTATTCAAATTTGTCAAAACATTAATTACTTAACTGAGACTGGTAGTCATCTGGTTGATCCTAGACTGACTGTCGATGAAACCCTGCATGGGTAGTCAACCTACTGTGTCAGAATTGGTGAATTTCATACGTCGCAGCAGACTAGGAGGGTAACCTTACCCAAATGGGATTAAACTCGCTCCTCCCGATGGAGCCTTGTAGCCCAGGGGGCTAAAGCGTCGGCTGTACTCAGACCCTGCCCTTGCTATCGTGGATTCGAATACTACGGAGGCCACCGAGTTTTCCGCAAGTGAATCATATGAATGTTTAATTAAAAGTTCATTGCGTTGTCAACACACAAGACCCCATGCCGTACTTTTGTGGCACCGGCAAATACAACGAACTTGCAGTTGAGTGGCCTAGTACAAACCTTTACATAAATCAGAAACAGTCGAAAATTCGATCATCGTGAGCCAAAACGACCACGAGCTGGGCCCATTGGCAACAACTTGCTTCTGAATCTGTTTATAGTTCGACCGGCTTTCATTACGTCTACTTTATTTCGCTTTTCCTAGACACATATTTTTACGATGGCAAAACTAAGTCACAACGAACTTAGGTGGACGTGGGCGGTACCACTGATGTGGCCAAATAGTCCGCCCACGCGTGACACACACGACCAAGCCTCCTCTTTGTGCACCAGGATGTACTTGGCTATCTCGAATCTCGCGCGGAAGAAGGTACTATAATAGAACCAATGCAGCCCGCTCCTTAATATTTGAAAAATCAGAGTTATTACGTCAGCTGGCAATTTTCAATGGCAAGACTTGTTGTGTCAGATTTAGCATAATTAGGAATGCGCTGATTTTCCTTGAGACTGTTTTCCTACGGGTGCGCCTCAGACTTTTACTGGTCATGTTAGTTGAAGATGAGGTCGGACACAATGGTCGAGGAAGCTAAGCACTGGGTGTACGCGGGCCACATACGATCTGATTCTTATCCTGCTTTTTCTAGGCTAACAAAATAACTTTCTGCCAACGAAGGCGAAATGCGCCTGTTCTCACATGTCACGTCTAACTCGCTGTATCTGCGCAGCCGGTGTGTACTGAATTCGTGCTGGAAGAGTGCTGCATAGTGGGTTTCGGGAAGTTTTCACGTAGACGCAACTTGTTGAGTAGGCTTATTTGTATTCTATAGGCCTGTGTGTTATGACGGGTTGTTTTGATGGGTCTGGAATGCGTAGTTCTGCTTGTGATTTTCATGGTAGAACATACGGCCGAAAGAGTTGCCTGGACGGTGTAAGCAAGTGACACTGGTTCATCGGCTTCAGTTCACTGAATTGATAAGTGGACGACTAGGCCTCATGCGTAATTCAAATGTATTATTATAGTGGAAACAAGTTAGAACTGTGTCTACGGACCTGATTGTGTTGGTATCAGCAGAGGGATGTTCTGGTGTAAGGGCTGACTTGGGTAAAATGACACTGTGGCGAACACCTCTTTTGATTTATGCGAATATGGCTGAAAGGCCCATGCAGTGCCCAGCTATCCTAGAACAGTATGGGCAAATTAGGCGTGTGTGACAGGGGTATGCGGGTCTCGTTGGTCAAATGCAAAGGATTTGTAGTTCACAACTAAGTAAGTTAAACCGACAGGTACGGTATGATATCATGGCACTTCAAGGTGTTTCGAGGGTAGTCTTCAGGGTGTTCTTGTAACGGCACTTTTGTTTACCGTGTTCATTTGCACCACCAGTGACGCCATCCATGAATGCCTGTAAGCTGTGAGCAGGTGGAGAGATGGAAACAACAATTATTTTTATTCCGTATGGGGCTTTGGTCGCGCGCTTTGCGTCCACTAGCCACGACAAACAGACAGCGGGCTTTTACTGGTCCCTTAACCTGCGAGCGGGTGAACAGTGCTTTCCCTTTATAGGTCTAATTGGATATTCCAATGGGCTGCTGAATTTAGCTATAAATCACGACTTTCGCCTGCGACCCAAGTAAACCTAGGCCATTTACGAGATTCTATGCCAACCTCTCAATCAAGTATTTTGTTTTTGGGTAGAGGGATAGGATGAATTAGCGGAGGGACTATGGAATGAGGAGATAGCTCCACGCATGAGAACCTCATCTGATTTAAACTGTTAGCGCTGTATAATCACTGGGCAAATTAAAGCTTTGTGAAGCATCCGAGGCAACGATCACGCATAAAAGGCCAGCGAAACTACCTGATATCCCTTACCCGTTGCAGCCCTTAACGGAACATCCTCTACCCTCCAGTGAGTAAGAACAGCGACCTTAAAGCTGAACCTTGTGAAACACCACCCACAATATTTGTCCCATCATAGGTGGAATCACTAAACAATAACTGGCAATATTGAGAACAAGGTCTTTAGGTCCATTTAAAAATGTCGCCTCCAAAGGCTACCTCCATAATTTTCTGTACGATAGGACAACGGCAATAATCCGTAACTCACACAAGCTCGTAACAACTAGGAGCGACGAAGATCTGTAGTAACTTTAAGGCCCTCACCGTAGATAAATGGGAAGGAATTAGACCAGCATCCAGCGCAGCTGTGAATATCAAAGAGGCACCAAAATCTGATGCTTTCGGCAAAGAAGCCTTGCGGAAAAACAAACTTGGAAATTATGTGTCGATCCACATTTGGGTGAGGCAGGATAACATGTAGCCCCTTGAATGGCTGGCGCTCTTGTAATAACTTTCGGAAAAGTTATGCTTAGGGCTTAGGGCTAGTGACAGAGTCATGACGGTTAAGGCTAAAGTTTGAAAGTTTGTTGCCAGGGTCAATTTTGGGTGGGTTAACGCAAAGGTCAGTGTTAGGGTTGGGTTAGGGTTAAGATTAATTTTAGAGCCAAGACTCGGTATGAAGTAGTCTCTGGAATTGGCGAAAGACCACACATATGACGGGCTGTAATTATGTTAGTGCCAACCTTCTATCAAAAGACGTCAGCGAAAATTGGATCTTTGGGTCCAAAAAGTCATGACATTTGTGGGGCCTTATTTATTGATCCGAGGTTCGGATCTTATTCTTGGTTATAGCTCTAGATACAGCTGACATTTCAGGAGGTATTTACATCCATTTTTTATCGCTGCATTTTGATTTTCGAATACTCTCATGCACTATAGAAGAAAAAACTACTGAAATGATCGGTCCTGTCCGTCCAACGCTCCCCTGCAAAAGCTTTCATCGATGTTTCTTCCATCATCCGATCCTCATAATTCAAGTAACTTCTTTGAAATCTCGCATATGATAATAACACCACTATCAACTAAAATTTACTGCAATTTACATTGCCAAGCTACGAACGTCGTACTGCCAGTCGCTTTAGGTCTGTTTGTACCCTCCTCTGTGCGAAGGTAGGCCGTGCAACGGTTATAGAGAGGTTTTGTGTGAAACAATGCGCTTTTTTCGAACTGTAACTACTAGCATTCATTTTCTAAGATAATTTCAAAAGATGCAGATCTGCTTCCTTTCCATACGGTGCTTATTCCAAGGCAGATTTTGTATTACCACAACTGGTGCCTGGTGACACGCACTCTTATCCACAGTTTACCTGTCCACTTTGGCACGCCAGCTTCCTAGGGTTGCAACACAGGCGCAAGCATGCAGACCCAAATTACACCTCCGTTGCCAATTTCCCATCATTTGCCCGTGTTCTGCCAGTCAGAAGCGGCCGTGTCCTGGTCTGGGTGCGTTCGCGCATTCCTCGTCCCTCAGGTGCAGGCGGTGGGCAGCAGCAGCAGCAGCCGACATGTTTTGTCGATGTGGCCGATGGAGGCAGGATGGCAACATAAGTGGGTATGAGTGCAGGCACATATATGCGGGGTGGGGGCAGGCCGAATGATTGGGTTTACTCCCCTCTCCCATTGGCTGGTCACCGGCACCCAGTAGAAATTGGACTTCAAGCCCACACAGCTGCGTTTCGTAAGTTCAAGGGAAAGTTGTTAACTTTGTGCACTGCCAATTGCCGCTTCTTGCCTGCGTATCCGCCCGGTTGGAAAGTTCAAAACATTCAATCTCTACCACCGAGAAGCTATTCCTCACAAATTGAACGAACATGGAGGCAATGTGAGTTACCTATCTGCCCCATGTGAAAGTATTTAAAGTCATCCATCCCTTACCTGAATTTTCGTTGGAAACTAGCCGTAAAAAGAGGCCCTGTTTGTAAGCATTGCTCGTTAAGACCCCAAAATATTTTTGATGTGTGAATATGTTTTGGGTTAAACGGAACCAAAGGCGTACTGGGGAGAGTAGTTAATAAATTTAGCACATTCTGTGACTCGTCATAAAGGTGCCAAGATGTTGACATGCTTTTAAAATGGCAAATGCAATATGATAAAAACATCATGGAATAGTCTCAAGTGAAGTAGATGATACAAGTTGCACCTACTTTAGTATTTTCAGCAAGATAAGTGAAGCTTTGAGTTTCACTCAGTTGACTGTACATACTTCAGAAACTGGGTGATTATTGCAGCCCTTTCGCCCTTTTCAGTCATAATTGATAAGAAAGGCCCCATGTGCAAGCCAGGCATCCCTACGAAATCATCTCAAGAGAGGTCAAAGTCACTGGGTTATGGATTGCTATCGACTGAAAGTAGTACATGAAAGACTGATACAAACAGCGAAAAATGTTCTTGTCGGGTCCCAAGTTCCTCTCTGAATAAGCATCGGTTGTCGTTGTTAATGTTTAAGACGATATTCGAACGACTGAAATTAGCCTTCAGTAATGGGCTTGCATATTGGAATTGTGGGGAAGAGTAGCGTCTTTCGTTTTCGTGTTGATGACGAATCCAAGCAGTGGTACGCCGACAAGTACGGGTCCGTGAGAATAATCCCTTCTGATCGAGGTACTGCAATCAGTTAGTCAAATACCAACCCAGAACCGAAAATTCTGACTCTACTTATTGATGCAAAACCACTCCTTGTACTGCCTTAGGGTGGCTTTGAGATTTTTCGTCGAAGGACACTGACGATGATCATAGCTTTTTGTACCTTCTACTTCTTGTTTGCCGCGTGATTTTTGGTTTGCCAAGACTTATTTGTGCTGTTTGATTGTGGTATGCGGCTTAATCGGGCTACTAGTAGCGAACGGATGCCCTAAAAGCAGCGTACAAAACCTGGGTGATTCTAAACGATGTTAAACTGTGTATGGCATCCTTTTGGAATTAGTAACGAGCAGCGAATATTTCTTAGAAGAACTTCATTTAGATCATCATATTCTGAACTACATGCAGGTACTTTACTAAATGACGGTACTATCAGCAAATGGGAAACAAGCTGCATAAACAGAGCACCGTCGAGTCCGTCGCAACATCAAAAACTACCTGGAAAGTCTCACTGGAATTAAATCTGTGGCCCCTGGCTACCAGATGTGCAGTATTCGACTTGTGAGCTCCTTGTTTAACATGCCTGCAACCATACAGGCAGCTGTGCGTTTATTCTCATGAATAAGTTTCAGCTGCTCCCTTCAGTGTTGGGCGCTCCAAGCAGCAAGTTAATGGGCAGTTAGAGCTGACGAAATTCCTTACTCTCTTATTCGTAGGAGCAGACTAGTCGAGAACATCGTTATTTTTTTGATTTTTTAAAATGTTTTGATCCAGATATGAACTTCTCGTATAATTGTGCGGGCCCATCTAGAAACCGATGCATAAGATAACAGATATCTTAACGACATAGGACGGTCGGAACCGGAAATACGAGGAAACGGGCCTATAGTTGCAATTAGCTCACAGTCGGACGTGGGAATATGGACCCCCATGTTACTGCAGGTGTCTTCGCGCCAAATTTCAGGAAGGTTCTCATCCCCATGACTTAACGTTAACGCTAACCCAAACAATGAGCCTCATGAACCTAGCCTGAAACCTGACCCTCTAACTTTAACGCTTGCCAATTCCGGGGATTTAGGACAAGACTACCTGTAATTATGGGGTTCATATTCCCGTATCCAATTTAGAACATCTGTCTAGGAGTAACAACATTTAGTCTGTGGCAAGTAACGAAACTCAGATAACATTGAGCGAAGTTCTTATGCTTGACTTCAATAGGGAAAAGATGCCCAGCTGGGCTATAAAACTGGTAAGTATAAACCGTGGTTTCACTTCACTGGTTTCCCGATGGTATGCGCGCTACCCGCTTAGAAATAGCTCTACTATTGTAATCCTATTGAGATAAGGACAAGAAAGTTCCTCTTTGAACATATTTAGAAAAGAAAACCACCTGTAATCTTTTTGAAGATTAATTCCAATTGATTTTATAACTAATGTTTGTAAACACAGTTGCGGCATTTAAAATGGCAACAATTATGGGTAATTCATTTTGACCCACATAAGTTGACTGTAGTCTTGCCAAATGTTAAATAATATGTTGGTTGGCAATTTCTTCTTTAACTACATGCCACCACACTCCATCTTTCCTGAGTGTTTTTCCAAGACGCAACCCACTGTCCTCAGTCAGTGGAAGAGTGCAAGTGACGGCGAAGCTCGATCATGCAGAAGCTGCGTCTCAGACGCGTTCGGCTCATGTAAACAAGCTAAACCGAAAATGTCCTGATATCCTGCCCTGTCACGACCGAAAGAGATAAAAGTCAAAAAATAGTTGTGATTTGTTGGCATATGGGATTTATCTTCACCCCATCGTTCAGCCAAAGTAAGATCTAAGTTCACGCAATTATTTCGAAGATGAGGTAGGGATGATGTAGACAGAGGCCTGTGCATAATATTCGTTAGTAGCTCGATTTTGGCCATGAGGAAGGCAGAGCACTGTGCAGTTTTAAAGTACAGACGATACTTCAGCATTCAATAAATTATTTTATTGTAAAAGTAAGAGCAAGGAACCCGATAATTCTCACGAACTTTTACCTCCTACTACAACAACTAAAATCCTACTGAGGAAGTTTATAACGTTCATATATTTTTACTGACAATATATCCGACCACATGTCAGAACAGCGAAGTGGTACTCCATGAAATTCATTACTTGAGTGTGATGCGCAGTATTTAAGAAAACCCAAATAAAACGTTTATAACTCTTCTCTAAGACGACAGTTGGACCGTCGTGTCTGACGATGTTCACCCTGTGCTCCACAACAGGAGTGAGAGCGGGGATGATGACTAGTACGGGAATTTCTTTATAGTGATGGTATACCTGCGCTGAATCTGCCGCACACCCTCCTCCAACTCCCTCACCTGGGCCCCATAGCATCACAGAATCAAAAAAACGGAAGACGATGAAGGTGGCTGGCACGGTGAAAACATGCACCTAGTGCTTGTAAGTGCGATAGTATGGTCTCAGACGATGGGGTTTCTACAACACAATCAGCTGGGATGAAAACGTCGACAATAGCCTTCTTCACATATAATGTATAGCTTAATTGGAAACTGTCGTGATCTATGCAGAAACCATGAGTCGGGTTCGAGTCAAGCAACCTGAACGTGTCCCTAAACTTCGACTGGGGGAATACTTTAGTTAACTTGTTAAATTGACCTTAATTCTTCAGTTTCAGAGTCTCAGACTAAAGTTTCTACAGACAGTGGCTTAGCGTTGGAAAAAGCAGTAATCGAAATAACAAGTGACATTGACACTGAGTCTATCATCAGCAAGTGGGAGGTACCTGCAACGAAAATCCTCCGATCCAGTGGATCTGGGAATTTTTATGTTTGCATGGCTAGAAGGAAGGAATGTGGGGTCGGCTAGTTCGTGGCGCCTTAAAACTCATTAATCATTTTCACTAGCAAATGCACAATAAGGCTTGGTACAATAACACGTTTGCTAAAAAAACTGATTATAAATATTTCGTTTGACTTGCCGCTGAACGGGGCACATTTAAAGCGATGTTGGTCATTGTGCATAAGTATACAAGGGAGATTCTGCTAACTGCCTTCCAGAGCTAATAAAAGTGCTCTAGAATGAAACATACGGTAGACGTGCCATCTCATGAAATGTTCATAGAAATTCCCAAGTGTTTTCGATTAAAAAGAATAACCTAATTAAGGTTCTTATTTTGGTCGTACAGCATAATCTCGATATAATTCAGCCAGGCTAGGGTATCAGTTTTTGATGCGTGTCTTCCAAACCGCTGCTTGGGTAGTATGGATTTTTCCCACTGATTTTTGGTACCCTTGTAAATTTAAATATATTTTGACGAAAAAGTGGGAAACGTTCTTTCTTACGTCTATTTGGCAGGAAATTTCGTCTTCTTTAAATGTGAAAATTGAAGAAAAGGTGTATTGTGGTTGGGAAAATTATTTAATTATGAGATTTTTAAGACCGTGATATATTCATACATAAAGCATCATATCTGTTGATTGGTGTTGCTTGTCAAGTATACAACTTGACTCATACCGCCCCAAAATATTATGAAACCTATATGACATCTTCTCAATAGCTTATAGGAAATTGCGATTTTTCTTACGCGGAACATACATAGGTTGGAGTTTGGAGACCCTGAATGTTAGTGTAACAGCCCTTCGGGTTCAGAATTTTTTTGGTTTTGAAGAAAGTTTTTTTAAGCCAAAACATAACCTCCGTTGAGTATAAAATTTAAAGAAGACGTAATTTTCTGCTAAACATGCACAAGGAGGGACACTTTCTGCATGTTTTCCTTAGGATATACTTGAATTATTAGGGCATCAAAAATCAGTGGAAGAAGGTATGCTACTTAAGCAGCCATTTTTATAGCGACCGAAAATAAGTATATTCAGAAGCCGGCATCTTGACCTAACAGGAATTATGTTGCTTGATATATAATAGGACAATCCTACTTAAGTGATCATTTGTATTTTAAACCATACTTTGGAATTTCGATCAACATTTCATAAGATAGAACATCCACAAACTGCATATAACAGAATTACATATCACTTAGTTGGATTTGTGCGAGGACTCATGTAAGGAAAGATTTAGTACACTTGGTCATGAACTTAGGAGTCCTTGAGTTTATTTGGGATCTTCTCGCCTAGTCCAGGAGTTGGTGATGCGATTATTTTTTAGTGTGGCAATGCGCTCGCAAATATATACGGGATTTTTCACAAGGTGAAAGTCGCATGTAGAAATAAAACTCAATTGCGCCCATAGCAACTTTTCTTAAAACGTATCATAACCGGAGACAGTGCTCGTAATTTCATATACCTTTCAAGCTAAAAACCCCATGCGGTCTTTGAACAGTCAAGCGCACCTGCCAATTTGCACTTTGTAGCATCCAATAATTAGGCACATTTTCATTGTACCCACTGACCGAGAATAACTACTGGGAATGATACTAGAAGATTCAAAATTAACTGACTTGTGCATGTATTGTAGTCCGTCCAATGGCGTTGGTTCGTTTAATGCATGGCTCCAGAGATGTGCTATAGATCCCGCACATTGCATACTTCAGCCTTAGCAGGTACTTGCGCCTAAGATTTTGGTTTTGGAGATGCAAAGTAGCCTTGAACTCGTTGGCATCATGCATGGTGAAGGTTTGGCTGCCTGCTCCGACAAGATCTTTAAAAGTTATAGGAGGTAGGAGGAATTTCTATTTTGATTTCATTAAAAGTGCATATCGAATATCTGTTGCCATGGAGCATGCAGACGAAAAGTTAGTAAACGTTTCACATAAGCGTTTTATAGCTACCGTTTTCCCAAATATATTGATATGTATTTGGTCAATTAAATTCGGTTTAGGGCTGACACTCGACGCACTGACGAACAGCACACAGGCGTACCACAAGCCTAAGTTATTAATGGAGAGATGAATTTAAATATTTCGGAAAAACGTTTAACGTTTCTATGTTATGGTGTCGCATTGGAAGTTTTACGTTTGCTTCTTCGCATCATTTCTTGACTTCTGTGGTCGTATTTCTTAAAATCCTATCACAGTAGTCTTCGGATTTTCTTTTAGTTTATGCGTTCTCGTTTTGTTGTATGTTACATGTTTTCTGTGGAGTTTCAGACTGCCGTGAGTCGGCCAATCATTTCCTATAGTACTTGATTTCATAAAATCGAATACCATGTGAGGTTAATCTTACTTCAGTCGCATACATACATTCTCACTAAAAGGAGGCCAAAGGCCACTGACTGACGTTTATTACAGGTATAGCAGTCTAGCTATCGTGTACAAAGACCAAATGCAAGGTTCGACTCCATGAAAATCGCAGTTAAACGAGTACGATGATTTTCATGGGGAACTCAACGGTTGATAACCACCGAATCTATTTCTAATTATATTTCTTCTTGAAGGGATCTGTGCTCAGTTTTCTTCCTGTAGCATAACGTTTAGCTCAAAGAAGTAGGATCGATAAAGAAGGCGACAAATGATTTAGCTGTTATGCAATTCATCATTTGTATAGCTGTCTACCATTAGCCTTAGATGCGAAAATTTAATCTGCTAACATTTATTTAGTATGCTCGTGCTCAAGCTTTTGGCGCTTGTAAACTCTTTTCCTTGTCTGGCTTCATTTATGATTAATTGGATTTAATCAAGTGCCCTTTGACGTTTTTAAACAAACGGCATAGAAAATTGATGTTTTGGTCATTTTAATAACATCGCAGTGTCGCTACAGTTTACGCTTGCGCACTTGTGTAATAAAGGTATGCATTTTGACTTCCTGCAAGGACGTTACTTGTAATGCGTTTGCGACTTGGGAATTTTTCAGTTGGCGAAATAAACCTTTTTTTCCAAATCGAGCAATATTCGTACTGCAAGGACAGCCTGTGTGCCAAAATGCCAGATCGTCATTCATGTTGGGTAATCCCAGGAATTTAAAGCAACAATAATGCTTAAAGGAAAATAACAACCATTGATGATCCATCAAGTGTGTCATCATGACTTCGGTTGTTCAAAGAATTTGAATAACTGAGCGCACACAAAACGTATTGATTCTATTGATTTCCCCACAGTTTGTATTTACTGTGTACGGCGCTTCAATAAGACGCTTCCCTGTAGGAATACACGTCTATAAATGTTTTTTTTCAGAATTAGGTCTCATGACAATCATGTAATGCTATTTATCTGTCCAAAATGTTAGATAACGCCCCCGTAACTTGTTAAATGTCTCGCTTGTTTTTCCGATATCTAACATAAACTTTGTTATCCAGACAGTTGTCCCAGAGATATCATGCAGTAAACCGCCTCTCTTCATGGCAGAAAGACCTAGGATTGATCAGTGAAGGTAGTTACAAGCTCAAAACGGTCCTCATTAGGTGAAAAACGGCGCTGTATATTTTGTATGGCAGTAATGATTATTATACGAAACCTCTATCAAAATCGTTTTTTGAGGATGCTTGAAACGGTCAAGATATTAACTTGCCTGATAGCAACGTCATTTTTTAACTAAACCTATTGATAATATAGCAAATTGCAACAGTATTTATGAAGTACGCACATTCTACAGGTAAAACACATTGTGGAAAGTGTTGTACTAGTGTTTTTGGGGGGTTGGACGAGACAAACAGTCGGCGGAGTTTTTAGTCGTTGGTCGAGCCGTTTGATTTAGCCCAACTCCATCCAGAGGACATGGCCAACGACTATGATTTCAGCAAGTGTGACAGACCATCCTAGCCTACATAAAACAAACAGTATAAAGTACTTTATTTGTATGATCCTTTATACATTATGATCTAGACAAAACACGAACATTGCGTGCTGCGTTTAGCCACGCAATACAATAACTTTGTTGTGCTAGAAAAAAGCGAGATGACCGACGTTCTATACAGGACCACATATTCGTCCATCCTAGTTTAGCCCAACATATTTCCATAACGCACATTGAAATCTCTCCGACGTATTCCGTAAACAGTTTTCATTTACTGTTTTCCATAGTTTACTTCCACATATCCCTACTAGTGTTAAGGATATTTGGTTGTCATTGCTCTTACGCAGACGCATAGTTTCGCCTTAAACATGGCCAAACTGCCGTGGTCCGTTCGAAGGAGTCGGTTTTATTTTGTTTGGCCTGAGAGATTAGCAATTGCACGGGTTTTATAGCACAGATATCACAAAAGGCTGCCAAGTTGAGCAGTCATTTTGCAAGCACATAGCGGCAAGCTGTTCACATGCACAATTATTCCTACATGGTTACCTAGGTAAGGAGCGTACTGAGGAAATTTGTAATACAGAAGACTAGAGTATAATTAATAAGTATGATGACCATAAACCTATCTACCTTGCCTTAATAACGGGCTCATATAATCCTAAGGAGCTGTTTGCAAGTATTTCATAGGACTCAGTTCCAAAAGTCCACGCAAGACGTTGGATGCTTAATGAATAAATAGGCAACCGAGGTTAATTAAATATTTCCTTTATCGTCCGAAGTTACGGGTCGCTAATCAAGACTGGATGGTAAATTATAAGTAAAACGCAAAGTAATCGGAACTATGCGATTTGCACTACCTCGTCTTGGTTTAAATGACGGAAAGTTAAGCCGTTTTGCTTGAGCATAGCGCCCTAAAATGCGTTCCCAGTGCTGTGTGCATACAAAGTAGTTGACCTGTAATTTTTAATACGCATACTCGGCCAAATGTTATTTTAATTTCTGCCCATAAGTACTGATTTTAATAATTTGATACTAAGATTTAAATGTTCACAAGTTTTGTTTTATGTGACCACTGGAGTTCCTTGCTTGACACTGACCTTGACTTTGTCGAATCAGAATCGGCGAAATCAGCAAGCGACCAAAGCTCTACGAGGACGGCTATGTGGACTCAGAAGACGAAGAGGAGATGTCGCAAAAGGAGCGTGATTTAGCAGAGGATGCGGAGTGGAAGATTTTCCAAAAAAATACCTTTACGAGATGGGCAAACGAACATCTGAAGCAAGCGAAAACGTCAGTTAATGATATACAAACGGATTTTTCTGATGGATTGAGACTCATCAGTCTGGTTGAGGTTCTCTCTGGACAAAAATTTTCAAGAGTCAACCGGCGGCCCACTTTCCGGACTCAAAAATTAGAAAATGTTACAATGGTTTTGAAATTTTTAGAGGAACAGGAAGGATTAAAACTCGTGAATATTGGTAAATTTTTTAGGTATTTCTAACGACCTTATAGATAGCACGGATATCGTTGATTCCCGCTTGAAGCTAATTCTTGGGCTTATATGGACGCTTATCTTGCACTATTCGATTTCATTGCCAATGTGGGAGGGAGAAGAAGAGTTGCCCCAAGTACGAGAATAATTTACAATAATTAATTGCGCAGTGATTTACATTCGAAAAAGCACTACTTCATGTCCGTTTTATTAAATTCCCTTGAACTCCTTTTTGCAGGACGATAGAGGTAAAGGTCCAACCGCTAAGCAACGCATCGTCTCGTGGGTTAACGCAAAAATGCCTGATTTGCCTGTGAAAAATCTCACAACTGACTGGAACAGTGGTGTTGCAATCGGCGCCTTAGTTGACGCATGTGCTCCTGGTCTTTGTCCTGACTGGGATACCTGGGGAAACAGAAAACCGATAGAGAACGCAACTGAAGCCATGACCGCCGCCGAACAATGGCTTGACGTGCCCCAGTTAATACGTCCAGAAGAAATGATCGATCCGAAGGTTGACGAAAAGGCGATGATGACTTATCTCAGTCAGTTTCCAAATGCAAAACTTAAGGAAGGTGCTCCACTCAGACCTAAAATTAACCCTGCTCGCGTCCGTGCATATGGACCCGGTAGGTCATCACCCAAGTCCCCTGTTATAATAGTGGTTTTTTTATTTCTTTGGTTTTCGCATATTTAACTTTAAATATCAAAATTTAAGGCTTGGAGCCTACGGGAAACACCATTGGCACTCCCGCGCGTTTTACAGTGGAGACGTTTAGTGCTGGTCGAGCCAAGCTTGAGGTTGTTGTACTTTCGCCGAATGGTGAATCAGTACCGGTGAGCTGTTTACTTGACTCTTATACTTTATTTGACTTTGTTTCAATTAACTGCGTATTTTGAAACTCGACGTTTTTCTCATTTAGCATTTGTCATTCGACTGCATAAGTTGCATAACATGTTTTGAGGGTTTGCCACAACTAGACGCTAAAAATTTTTTTATGGTATCCTGCTCTGAAACTGAACTAATGTAGAACTTCTCAATGGTTAACTTCGTGTTTTTGTCAGCCTGTAAACTTATCTAGATCTTGTAGGGTAGATTAATCAGTAATCGACTAAAGTTCGGGAGCGGACTCGCATAATTCCATTTTTCATCTCTGCAAGCTGTTTATTTGTAATGTGAAACTGCAAAATCTACACAGCTGTCGATTTACACAAATAACAGGCAGCTCGTAAGATCTGTAGCGCTACCATATACTGACGTGGAGCTCTTTTTAGATTACTTATGGTCTGTATCCTGTTGTTTTGTTTGCTCATAAGGAGCAATATTGGGATAAAAAAGCACTTAACGGCCTCACAAACTACAGTGACCAATCAGTGTATATACAATTTGTACTAATCTGCTCCTTGAGCGGTATCGGGCCGTTTGTGCCTTAAATTCAGCGATAGATATTTTTACAAGAAAAATAAAATACTTTTACACGCTCGTTGCATGTTTCGCAAACGCCTAAGGGTTTTATAAATATTCAGCGTTTTTTATGTGACGTTCGCCACCTATCCGATATCACAGGATTTAGTTTGCGGTGTTTGTCTGCCGTCGTCTGTCCCACCTCATCCTAGATTATTAAATGGTTGCGAGTATTGTCCAGCTTTGTTATCTCAAATGTCCTCTAAGAAATAGCTAAAAGCTATAGTCACTATGATGAACAGCCTTTGCAGATGGCTAAAAAATTATCAACTTGTTAACTCTGAATACCGTTACTGACTGTAAAGATTATTTATGTAGTCGTGCAATTTTTATTTGCTTGTTAGAGTTTAGCACGATTTCCATCTCTCCTACACCTCTTACGCTTTAGTGCGATGTCATTGCAAATGAAGATAGGAATCTAACGTATTCCTGCTCCTATGTACCGAAAAAGGAGGGACAGTATCGAGTCATTATTAAGTACTCATCGAAAGAGATACCGAATTCCCCATATCTGGTACAAGTCCAAGGTGCTCCCGGAGATCCCAAAAAAGTGAAATTATCGGGCCCTGGAATTGAAGAAAATGGCGCAAATTTTGTCGGCCGAAGGACCTTTTTCAATGCATTTACAGCCGGTGTGTTCATTATGTTTCTTTTTGTCGGTCTGCAAAAATGACAATCTGATTTTCTGGCTTTCTGGCCAAAACTTGTAAATGTAAATGTGCGAACTTGTTTTTTACCCTTGCAAAAGTGTAGAATTCAAATCGACTTACACCTTTCAGAAGAAGGAAAATTGTCAAAATATTGCTGTCGATACGTTACGAATATAACCCGAAAACTAAATCAACAAAATTCACACAGCAGTCGGTTTTCATTTATAAAACGAAACCCTGAGGATCCGATGCACTTCCAATATTGACGGTGAACTCCTTTCGAATCACATATAGCCTTTATCCTCTCTTTAATATTAAATGAAACTTCTTTTTCAGAGGCTGGCGCGGGAACTTTGGCTGTTGAAATCACCGATCCCTCTGGGCGCAAAGACACGATTAAGCCTAGGATTACTCGGGCGGACGAGCAGTCGCCTTACCTCATTGAGTACACACCGAAAATCGAAGGTGTGCATCAGATTATGGTCTTCTTTGCCGGCCAGCAGGTGCCGACCACCCCATTACCCGTGAACGTCGGGCCACGTAAGCATTGCATTTCGCGTTCTTTTGAGCCTAGATGTCAACGGTTTGGACTATTACCTGAAACATGATGGGTGCATGCAGGTTTTGATTTAGCAGTTTTTCCTGCGATATAAGAATACCCAAGAAACATTTACCAATGGACCTGCCCACCACTTCTCATTGTTTTCCACTTTCTTACTGGTTATTTTAAAAGAAAATGGAACTATACATTGTGCATGTTTCGCTTTCAAGTTCCTGCTATTTGAGCAATCAGACCTCCTTTAAGTATTGCTGGTATAGTTTACTTTGTATATCATTTTGACATACCATTTTTTAAACTCTTCCATTTTTGTTAGGTGAAACACCGAAAGGCAAGTTCAGCATGAGTCATCATTCCGAGGATTTGAATGAGTACCTTTTCTAGCATGTACTTCAATGGTACTAATGCACGCAGTATTAATAAGCGTAAAAGTCTAATCCCTTTGAAACCTAACAGCGAGTAATGAGTGCGGTGTTCTAGAGAGCCCTGTCTCTCACCAAAACTAACTCTTCTACTTGAGTTTCGTTTCAAGCCTTTTTGCCTTGTTTGACCAGTAGATTTGCTTTTTTAACCGCAACTGTCATTGTTTGTTAAAAAGACCTCTCTCTTCATGTCACATGATTTTTGGGGTTTCCGTTTCTTTTTAAATTATGTTCACCGACTCTCAGCATCTGTGTGTACTTGTAACTTACAGTTTAACTTAATATACGCCGGTTATTCCTACTTTGAATGATTTGCATTCTTTCACATCGCATCTGCCTAAAGCGGCGGCAGCAGCTGCTCAACAAATTGCAGCCGCTCTCAAGTCTCAGAGACCTGCGCCTAGTCCTGCCCCTCCAGGCGGGGTAGGGGCGGCAACAGCAATGCCGGTGCCGCAGGGCGCTGCCGCTGGCAATCAGCCAGTCGTGCAGCCAGCCCAGCCTCTTCAGTCAACTTTGCCAGCGCAGAAAGCGGGTATGCAGCCTGCTGTGCCGCCGGGGGTTCAAGGCGTACCTGCCTCGTCCCCGACTGCCGCAGGGTCTAAACCAGGTAACAGCTGGGTTTCGCGAGGTGTCTTTGAATCATGCTTGTACCTGCATGTCCCCATCCGAAGATGAGCGGAGCCTGGAGCATGATATTACCTGCCCTACCACTGTCACTTTGCATCTGAAGTGGCAGTTTTGCCTGCCTTGCGCGTTCTCTTCTCACGCCTAGTCGCCTTTTTCTCTGTAGTCCGGCTCTGTTCCAGTTAATTGAGGGTAAACCGACTTCTTTCTATTTTCCACCAACCTGCACTCTGGTACAGCTTGCAATCCTGGACTGGCTTATGCAACCGGACGTGGAGTACGGCAGCGGGGTATACGTGCACAAGATACTGCTGTTTTTCAAGTGCACACTGAACAGGCTGGTGAGGGCAATCTTACCGTCAATCTAAAGCGACCAGGTAAGTCAGGATAAAAGTTGCATTGTTTCGCTCTTAACTCCATGATGCATACAAATACTCCTTGAGACAGGTCGGAACATACTCCAAGTTGCGTTCACACTCACCCCTGGGTGATAAAGACAAGTAGGCGTGAGGTACAATACCTCGCCTTGACCATTTCGACGCATCCGTTTCAGGAATTATTTGGCTTTATTTATGTCTATTTTCTAGCCTGTCAATCGGGCCCAGAATTTAGTGTAGACGAGGATGTTAAACAGAAAGTCATCTTTGCCATATATTGGCAATCATAGTACTTCCGCGCTCTGTGCTAATGACCGGTCATAATACTGTTGATAATTCAGTTGAAATGGTCTCAACTTTGTACTGACGCAAGATTCATGTGTTAGAGTAGTCATTTTATCCTTTCGTTTGATAGCCAAAAGCCACTTTAATTGCGGATATATTTGCCGGATTCCCGGTCTCTTGACAACAAATATCCCGGCGGCCGGAATCACTGGTTTGCTGGCTTTTCAAATTTGTCAGAATTTTATTTTTGGTTCAAATTTATCTTGTGAACAGGAAGGTTGGGTGTCCTTGCATCATTTCGGTCTCTTCTTTTCAATGGCGATGGTTGTGTAGGTCACCCTAACACTGATCAAGCTGAACCCGTCTTGTGGTATCCCTGAATGCACATGAGGATCTATCGGAGACTCAAGGACCCCAGATACCCCTTAGAAACATCTTGTATGGACGATATCTTCCACTCTTTTAGGCACACTTTCACAATCGTCTCTAGAGTTTGAAGATCTTTAGCCTAAACGTCGGATCTAAATTTTCTTTTATTCCCCTGCTTTTCGTCGGCTAATTAGACATTTTCCTCTTCAGATGGCCAACCGGAGCCCGTCAAGATTACCCGCGTATCAGACCATCTTTATGAATGCACATACTCCCCCCAGAGACCAGGGCAATATACTCTTGGTGTGGAGTATGGCGATGGTAACATTCGAAGCAGTCCCTTCAAGGTGAGCTTTTGATCCAACCGGGAAAAAGGCGACCTCGTCTCTGCAAGTTCTTTTTGGTGGATAATTTCTGTTTGCTTTATCAGCCCCTGTCCAACTTTATCTCCTTTTGTTTTAAAACTGACTTGCGTACATTTTCCGCTTACCTCTTAGGTTGTCGTTGGGCCTTATATAAAGTCTGCGATTCGCGCCTTCGGGCCAGGTCTGCACGGTGGCCTTGTCAATAGTCCAAACGTCTTCACGGTCGTAACCAACGGCTCCACTGGCGCACTCGGTAAGGGTTTCAACGGCTGCGGATAAGTTTGCCTTTGAACTGTTCAAAACTACAAGCTGAGCTTAGGCTGTCACTCATAGGACAATGGGAGATTCATGCAGAATTGTGTTAAATTGACACAATTAAAGTGCTGTGGTGCATGTCTCGAAAAGACCTAAACCTAGACAACCATGAACTCTAGGCTAACATCATTTCTGAATCGGCCATTCGACAAGAAGTCATGACCACCTACCCAGTGGGCTCAGCCACGTCTGCTTTGTTTTATCCGCCACGGCAAGCTACTTGTTAAAAATGCAAACTTGAATGGCTTCTATGGTGCTGGACTATTACAGTAAGATTGATATCAGATCCGAACTTCTGACCTATACTCTGTCACGTTGTTGCCTCTCCCCTTCTCAGTCAATCTCTGCTGTTTTTCCACAAAAAGGTTTCCTTATCGAAGGACCAAGCGATGCAAAGATCACTTGTGAGGACAATGGTGACGGTTCTGTCCTCGTGACCTATACGGTATCGCAACCAGGAGAGTATGCCGTGCACATCACTTCCGATGACGAGGACATTCCAGATT